GGCTGCTTCCTGGGGTGTGTGTGTGTGTGGTGTGGAAAAAAATAGTGGTTAGTAAACAGTTGATTGACAGTTGAGAGGCGGGCCGAAAGAGCAAAAGCTAAACCCCCACAAACACAAGGTGAATACACACACACACACACACACACACACACACACACACACACACACACACACACACACACACACACACACACACACACACACACACACACACTGGGACTTCAACCATGGGAAGATAGATTGGGAGAACAGAGACCCGCATGGAGGGCCAGAAACATGGAGAGCTAAGCTGCTGGACGTGGCAACAAGAAACTTTCTAAGCCAGCACATCAAAGAACCATCAAGAATGAGAGGAGAAGATGAACCAGCAATGCTTGATTTGATATTTACCCTAAATGAGTGGGATATAAGGGAAGTTAAGATGGAAGCGCCCTTGGGAATGAGTGACCACAGTGTATTGAACTTTGAGTACCTGGTAGAGCTAGGAATTATCTCCCCCCAAAAAGAACTAGGAATCAAAAGGCTGGCATACCGAAAGGGGAATTATGAACAGATGAGAAGTTTTCTAAGTGAAATACCTTGGGACACAGACCTCAGAGATAAGTCTGTACAGGGTATGATGGACTATGTTGCCCAAAAGTGTCAGGAGGCAGTAAACAGGTTCATCCCGGTCCAAAGGGAAAAATCCGAGAAGCAACAGAAGAATCCATGGTAAAATACGGCATGTATGGAAGCGAAGAAACTGAACAAAAGGGCGTGGAGGAACTTCCGGAATAACAGAACACCAGAAAGCAGAGAGAGATACCAGAGAACCAGGAATGAGTACGTCAGGGTGAGAAGAGAAGCAGAGAAAAGTATTGAAAATGATATAGCAAACAAAGCCAAGACCGAACCAAAGCTACTCCACAGTCACATCAGAAGGAAAACAACAGTGAAAGAACAGGTATTAAAACTTAGAACAGGCAAGGACAGGTATACAGAGAATGACAGAGAGGTGTGTGAAGAACTCAATAAGAGGTTCCAGGAGGTCTTCACAATAGAACAAGGTGAGGTCACTGTGCTAGGAGAAAGGGAGGTAAACCAGGCGGCCTTGGAAGAGTTCAAAATTACGAGAGAGGAGGTCAAGAGACACCTGCTGGATCTGGATGTTAGAAAGGCTGTTGGTCCAGACGGGATCTCACCATGGATACTGAAAGAGTGTGCAGAGGCACTCTGCTTGCCACTCTCCATAGTGTATAGTATGTCACTGGAGACGGAAGACCTACCAGAAATATGGAAGACGGCAAATGTGGTCCCAATATACAAAAAGAGCGACAGGCAAGAGGCACTGAACTACAGGCCAGTGTCCTTGACTTGTATACCATGCAAGGTGATGGAGAAGATCGTGAGAAAAAACCTGGTAACACATCTGGAGAGAAGGGACTTCGTGACAAATCGCCAACATGGGTTCAGGGAGGGTAAATCTTGCCTTACAGGCTTGATAGAATTCTACGATCAGGTGACAAAGATTAAGCAAGAAAGAGAGGGCTGGGAGGACTACATTTTCTTGGATTGTCGGAAAGCCTTTGACACAGTACCGCATAAGAGGCTGGTACATAAGCTGGAGAGACAGGCAGGTGTAGCTGGTAAGGTGCTCCAGTGGATAAGGGAGTACCTAAGCAATAGGAAGCAGAGAGTTACGGTGAGGGGTAAGACCTCCGATTGGCGTGAAGTCACCAGTGGAGTCTCACAGGGCTCTGTACTTGGTCCTATCTTGTTTCTGATATATGTAAATGATCTCCCGGAGGGTATCGATTCATTTCTCTCAATGTTTGCGGACGATGCTAAAATTATGAGAAGGATTAAAACAGAAGAGGACTGTTAGAGGCTTCAAGAAGACCTAGACAAGCTGAAGGAATGGTCGAACAAATGGTTGTTAGAGTTTAACCCAACCAAATGTAATGTAATGAAGATAGGTGTAGGGAGCAGGAGGCCAGATACAAGGTATCATCTGGGAGAGGAAATTCTTCTGGAGTCAGAGAAAGAAAAAGACTTAGGGGTTGATATCACGCCAGACCTGTCTCCTGCAGCACATATCAAGAGGATAACATCAGCGACATGTGCCAGGCTGGCCAACATACGAACGGCATTCAGAAACTTCTGTAAAGAATCATTCAGAACTTTGTATACCACATATGTCAGGCCAATCCTGGAGTATGCAGCCCCAGCATGGAGTCCATATCTAGTCAAGGATAAGACTAAACTGGAAAAGGTTCAAAGGTTTGCCACCAGACTAGTACCCGAGCTGAGAGGTATGAGCTACGAGGAGAGACTACGAGAATTAAACCTCACTTCGCTGGAAGACAGAAGAGTTAGGGGGGAAATGATCACCACGTTCAAGATTCTGAAGGGAATTGATAGGGTAGATAAAGACAGGCTATTAAACACAAGGGGCACACGCACAAGGGGACACAGGTGGAAACTGAGTGCTCAAATGAGCCACAGAGATATTAGAAAGAACTTTTTTAGTGTCAGAGTGGTTGACAAATGGAATGCATTAGGAAGTGATGTGGTGGAGGCCGACTCCATACACAGTTTCAAGTGTAGATATGATAAAGCCCAATAGGCTCAGGAATCTGTACACCTGTGGTTGACGGTTGAGAGGCGGGACCAAAGAGCCAGAGCTCAACCCCCGCAAACACAACTAGGCGAGTACAACTAGGTGAGTACACACACACAGCGTATGCTGCGATTCATACTGCGACATTATTATTATACACACAACTCTCTGCATGTAAATGAATAAGAATAAAAATTAAACAATTTTCTAGCGCCTCTCGCTGAGCTGTTCCACTGCGGTGTATAATGCATTATAAGGTGAAGGTGAAGTGCTGACTCTTTAACGTCATAGAAAGTGAGCGAGAAAGACATACAGACATAACTGCATGGTGGCACACTGGTAAAACACTCGTCCTGCTCGTTGCGAGAAATTTGGTTTGGGTTCGTGTCCTGGCCAGGGAGGATTGCAACCCGTCCTCATTAACGAATGCCAAATGCTCGTTAATCAAGCCACAAAACCGTTGGTCATGAGTGAAAACCGCTGTACACAACACTCACCACTGATCATCAGCGCTTTGCTGACTACTTCTGTCGAGTCGCAACTTTCAAAGTGCTTGGCCCACGTACTTCAAATGCGAATAATTGCCAACATAACTTAACAGACGCCTACCTATACACAGAACTGTAATATACATTTTATAAATGAGAAACCATTTTTATTACACAGTATGTAGAAATTGATGAATGCGTCTTGGAAATAAGCCTTGCCTTAACGAGCCTAGCCAGAGGATTAGGTGCAAATGACTAAGCCAAATTAACGATTGTCCGTCTGAGATATGACGGACAATTGTTAACTATTCACCTTTGTGTTCGCAACAGTAAATGGGTACCTGGTTGCTAACCGGTTGGCGGGTCGTGTTCCAAGGAAAACTAAGGGGTAAGCCTTAGCAAGAGCTGTGGAAAGGGAAAGTTCTCAGCTTGTTAACAGGAGTCAGAAGTGATCTGTTCCAGCACCCACCTGTTTAAAAAGAAAAATTTGCGTGAGACTGCGAAGAACTGTTACCAGTTTTCAGGCACGTTAAGGTGAGGCGCCAGTCAGCGAGTTAAGTGCTCGAGGAGCAACTTCGCTCACCACTAATGACCGGAAGAAACCAGACTTCAAATATATTGACAGGCAAACAGCTCACGACCTCGATAAGGGTAACTTTCGTAGACACCTCCAACAGCAGAGTCTATGTGGCCTGCAGTCTGGAGTACAAGTGCTCATCCTAAAAAAATAGCTGCTTTTATTTGCAACGCTGGTCGCAGCGAGCAACACAATTTAATGGAACAAATCTGGATTTAGTTTGGTACTGGAGAAATGAAGCAAGTTTGATGTGGGCGGCTCACGTGCTGCAAGAGCATCATCAGGACACTCACAAGTAACAAGATGAACGAAGCCTATTCCTATAAACGGAAGTCACAAAAATATATAATTGAAGATGCCGAGGGATCTAAATATATTGACGAATATGCACCATGCAGCCACACTCCTGGGATAACATAGATCGTCGTATCACAGCGAGATAAGATCATATAGTTTAACACATTAATTCATTAGTTTATGTACATATTACCGGCGTTGTGAATGATAATGTTCTTTTCTAATAAATAACTACAAATGCGAGTACAAATTATAATACTGTAGGAATACATGTACACTGGAGAAGCCTAACTTCATGTGCGCTACTAACTTTATCCTCCATTACTTATAAATACACACACATCCACTAGTCTATCATTTGGTCAACTTTATACTTTACATATACTATAAAGTGAAGGAATGGTTGGTACCTGGCCTCTCATAATTATTGGTGACAGGAACTGAAGGTTGATGGGTTAACAACACAAGAAAATAGATAAAGGAGCATCTCTTTCCCCGTGAAGAACAATACCCAACTGACAACTAAAACTAGAAAAATGTCAACAATATAACACTCGACCTCTAGTGACATCTATTGGAACCACACTAATTAGACTACAAGTATTTATTGCGGGGAGGGGGGGGGGACTAATTTATATTTTCATTATAATATATGTATTGTCATACTAAATTGTCGTAAACCACTACAACTCCAGGAACGAACTGACATCTTACAGAAATGTTACATAGATAAATATCACGCAAGTACGATGCTCAAATAAGTCAACAAATGTACTGAGATGTACATTCACAATCGACTTGAGAATGGTCCAGGACGGACCAGAACGTCATCGTCCCTTCACTTTCTAGTGTGTGGTTTGATCAACATATTTCAGCCACGTTATTGTGACTCCTCGTCTACATATGTAGTAAGGATAGAAAATATAAGCTCTTAGACGTGTAGACCAAAATTCTACCATCGGCAGCAGTTGCCAGGACGCTAACAGGGTGAGATGGGGGGAGGAGGAGGAGGTAGTCATATTTGTTCCTGGTAATCATGAGACGAGCTTGTCTGTCACGAAGATTTCGCCCAAATGATTGATGAGGTACATGATGATTGTGCTACAATTTTTTTTAGTATATGTACTGCCGAAGCGAGTACTGATTGTGCTACAGATGGCGGCGTTTGATGCTTGGTATAGGTTTATCAGAGACTCGTGTGGTGTAACCATGACACTGTTGATCTGAGCTATAGGAGCACATACGGGATTATAAGGTGAAGCGGCACACGAAGATATGGTGACAGCTGAGTGGTGGGCAATGTTGCAGCACCTGCAGGAGCCCACTAGATGGTCTGCTGCAGGTGGGCCAAGGTGTAGGGTACACCTTGGCCCACCGCCGACGGGACTACCGTCGGCGAGGCTGGCAGTACCACCAATAAGCTACGTGGAGTCTAGTGGCGATGAGACATGTAGTAACACCAGTAGGCGACGTTGAAGACGAGGAAGGCGGCTGGGAAGAGGTAGCGAGAGAGTTCGTCGATCCTGCAGGCGAGGAGGCGGTAGCGGCGGGTGTCGGCCTGGCTGATGGAGAACTCGGCCACGTCTGCTGCCGGAGAGGCCTGTGACGCCTGGTCACCTCCGCGGCCGTTCTGCTGCTCGCCCCCGACACACACACCGCAAATACAGGAGGGAATTAGTAGTGTGAACAGTTAAAGGTACACAAGCTGGGGCAAAGAAACGGAGAGGGTTAAGGAAACAGGAACAAGAAAACTGAAGGAAGGAAACCAGGTAATGGCGACAGGAGAAGGCAGGAACTGGAATGCGAAGGAAACATGAACTGTTAGTGTGAAGGAATCGGGAACTGGAAGGAAAGTATGAAAGAAACAGGAATTGTAAGTAAATATTAATTAGAGGCAGAAGAGACCCGATGGGGCCAAGGCAGTAAAGTTAAACATTACAGCGCCTAAATGATTATGTAGAAATTCACACACAAGATATGCCTGACCAAATTATATAAATTATAACTATTAAATAAAGTATGTTCCAGGCTAACAATTTCCTAAGAACTAAATTATAAATGTATCAAGACTGCTTCAGCTGGAGTGTCCATAACATTAACATTTATAACCCGATAATCCAGTGGATATATTAGCCAAGGGGCACTATTAGAGGAAAGCGCCAAGCCATTACGACTATATAGCACTGGAAAAGGGGGTCAAGATAAGGATTTGGGATGGGACGGGGGTAAGGAATGGTGCCCAACCACTTGGACGGTCGGGGATTGAACGCCGACCAACATGAAGGGAATCCGTCGCTCTACCGCCCAGCCCAAGTGGTTGGGCATTAGCCAAGCTGCAGCGAGTTTACCTTCATGGAAACATCTTCACCAGCTGGCGTTGGGAAGTGATATTTATGAAAAATGTAAATACAGTAAATTCATCTGCTATTTATACTACTCTATGTATTATGCCAGTCAGTTACGACCCACCCTAGGCGAGGATGAGCAACACTGGCCGTGAGTGAGCAACACTGGCCGTGAGTGAGCAACACTGGCCGTGAGTGAGCAACACTGGCCGTGAGTGAGCAACACTGGCCGTGAGTGAGCAACACTGGCCGTGAGTGAGCAACACTTGGTAATGATCAAATTTGTATTAGGTTGGATACAAGTTTTAAAGAGAGGAATCGTGGAAAGCTTCCCCTCAACAACAATAATAAACAGAAAGTATCAAGCTATTAACACTATATAGAATCCCGAAGCCTCTCAGAAACCTAGTCGAGGTTTCACACAATTCCCCCCATGCACCCGGGCTCTGTCAACCAGATGTTCTACCTCTACATCCTTACTGGTAGATTTACTACGCTTACATACTACGCCAATGTAGAACATCTGGTTGACAGAGTCCGGGTGCATGGGGGAATTGTGAGAGACTATATAGCACTTCGTCTCGCATTAGGATAACACGGGAGACATCTCCCGTCACGCAGAGTGCAGTCGCACCTCTACAGATCTCCAGTATCATCTATTGATACTGGTAATGGCTCAAAAGGGCCACCACTTACGGGCTATTCATGCCCGTGCCACCTTTTGGGTGGCTTAATCTTCATCAATCAATCACTAGGATAAGAGCAGGATAAAGCTTTGGGATGGGATGGGACGGGGGGAAAAGGAATGATGCCCAACCACCTGGACGGTCGGGGATTGAACGCCGACCTGCATGAAACGAGAACGTCGCTCTACCGTGATTGTGGGAAACCAGGGACGCGACACGTGCAGCTTAGGGCCTAGTGACTGTTGCTTGTTGGTCATTCCCAATAGTGCGGGAGACACGTGAAACACCGTGTTGTTGTGCGTTATTGTGCGTTATTGTGCGTTCAGTAATACAAGCATGATGTTGGGAAGGCAGCCAGGGTATGGCCCAGGGGGGCATGTGGCCAGGGTATGGTCCAGGGGGGCATGTGGCCAGGGTATGGTCCAGGGGGGCATGTGGCCAGGGTATGGCCCAGGGGGGCATGTGGCCAGGGTATGGTCCAGGGGGGCATGTGGCCAGGGTATGGCCCAGGGGGCATGTGGCCAGGGGTATGGTCCTGGGGGGCATGTGGCCAGGGTATGGTCCAGGGGGGCATGTGGCCAGGGTATGGTCCAGGGGGGCATGTGGCCAGGGTATGGTCCAGGGGGGCATGTGGCCAGGGTATGGCCCAGGGGGGGCATGTGGCCAGGGTATGGCCCAGGGGGAGCATGTGGCCAGGGTATGGTCCAGGGGGGCATGTGGCCAGGGGTATGGTCCTGGGGGGCATGTGGCCAGGGTATGGCCCAGGGGGGCATGTGGCCAGGGTATGGTCCAGGGGGGCATGTGGCCAGGGTATGGTCCAGGGGGGCATGTGGCCAGGGTATGGTCCAGGGGGGCATGTGGCCAGGGTATGGTCCAGGGGGGCATGTGGCCAGGGTATGGCCCAGGGGGGCATGTGGCCAGGGTATGGCCCAGGGGGGCATGTGACCAGGGTATGGTCCAGTGGGCCATGTGGCCAGGGTATGGTCCAGTGGGCCATGTGGCCAGGGTATGGTCCAGGGGGGCATGTGGCCAGGGTATGGCCCAGGGGGGCATGTGGCCAGGGTATGGTCCAGGGGGGGGGCATGTGGCCAGGGTATGGCCCAGGGGGGCATGTGGCCAGGGTATGGCCCAGGGGGGCATGTGGCCAGGGTATGGTCCAGGGGGGCATGTGGCCAGGGTATGGTCCAGGGGGGCATGTGGCCAGGGTATGGTCCAGGGGGGCATGTGGCCAGGGTATGGTCCAGGGGGGCATGTGGCCAGGGTATGGTCCAGGGGGGGGCATGTGGCCAGGGGTATGGTCCTGGGGGGCATGTGGCCAGGGTATGGTATAGGGGGGCATGTGGCCAGGGTATGGTATAGGGGGGCATGTGGCCAGGGTATGGTCCAGGGGGGCATGTGGCCAGGGGTATGGTCCTGGGGGGCATGTGGCCAGGGTATGGTATAGGGGGGCATGTGGCCAGGGGTATGGTCCTGGGGGGTATGTGGCCAGGGGTATGGTCCTGGGGGGCATGTGGCCAGGGTATGGTATAGGGGGGCATGTGGCCAGGGTATGGTATAGGGGGGCATGTGGCCAGGGTATGGTCCAGGGGGGCATGTGGCCAGGGGTATGGTCCTGGGGGGCATGTGGCCAGGGTATGGTATAGGGGGGCATGTGGCCAGGGTATGGTCCAGGGGGGCATGTGGCCAGGGTATGGTCCAGGGGGGCATGTGGCCAGGTATGGCCCAGGGGGCATGTGGCCAGGGTATGGCCCAGGGGGGCATGTGGCCAGGGTATGGTCCAGGGGGGCATGTGGTCAGGGTATGGCCCAGGGGGGGGACATGTGGCCAGGGTATGGCCCAGGGGGAAGCGTGCAGCTAGGGTATGGCCTAGGGGGGGCATGTGGCCAGGGTATGGCCCAGGGGGGAGCGTGCAGCTAGGGTATGGCCCAGGGGAGCGTGCAGCTAGGGTATGGCCCAGGGGAGCGTGCAGCTAGGGTATGGTCCAGGGGAGCGTGCAGCTAGGGTATGGCCCAGGGGAGCGTGCAGCTAGGGTATGGTCCAGGGGAGCGTGCAGCTAGGGTATGGTCCAGGGGAGCGTGCAGCTAGGGTATGGTCCAGGGGAGCGTGCAGCTAGGGTATGGTCCAGGGGAGCGTGTGTTATTATAAAACACACACACACACACACACACACACACGAGCTACATTTTTGTAAAGCAATAGCACGTGTAGCGTTTCAGGCAGGTCCTTAATCCACATTTTTCCCCGGACTACGACCCGCCAAATGTTTTAAATGTTTCACAAAGCCTGGCACACTCGATCCACTTACGTTGTTGCCAACTTGACAAAACTATTATTTTAATTATATTAGTATTTATAACATATAATGTATAATCTGGGAGACATGTTGGCTGCGTCAGGATACAACAACATGGTGCTCGACTGTCTTGGTAGTTTAAAATGTGGTACAAGCTGCAAGACCCCAGCCGGACACCTCACTGGTGTCAACAACACTGGCCGCTAGCCAGAGCAATGCCAGTGTCACACCTGGGTAATGACGCCGACACACAGACAACCTATCAGCATCACCAACACGTCTGACACTGAAGAGGAAACACTCATGACGAAGACAACACATGCATAAAGTTCATAAAAAGAATTAAACAATTGCATTTTTTGTTCAAGCAGTTTTGTTTGAGAGTAGCGAGCAGCAGGCTCCGTAATGTGAAGTTCAAACATTACATCTAGACGAGCGCGTGGAAAAGTATGCTCTTAAACTGTGGGACAATTCTCTCCTCGTTAAATTCAGAGTTGAGGACTTGGCTGTGCACGAAGTGCTAAGTTTCTGCACGATATCGTACGAGAAACGAGGCAATCGGAACCATCGAATGTCGATGCTGTTAAACAAGGTATCGTATTTGCTGACCCGATGGGGAACAGTGTGGTCATTATGCTTCAGCTGGCACTTAAGGTGATGACCTGTGCCAGCACCTCCCGGACACCTTGAAAGCGGCTGCACAGGCCCCCAACGGATTAGAGATTCGAGGGGTTTGAAACCTGTACGAACTAGATCTGATGCATTAGGGATTCAATGAGATTAGAGAGATTAGACACCTGTGGTAAATAGAAACCTGTGGGGTTAGATGCCCGAGGATTATATACTTGTGGGATTAGATTGCTCAGGATTAGATACTCCAGGGATTAGATACTCCAGGGATTAGATACTCCAGGGATTAGATACTCTAGGGATTAAATACTCTAGGGATTAGATACTCTAGGGATTAGATACTCTAGGGATTAGATACTCTAGGGATTAGATACTCTAGGGATTAGATACTCTAGGGATTAGATACTCTAGGGATTAGATACTCTAGGGATTAGATACCTGTGGAGCTATCCAGCACAGTTCCCCAGAACTGAACATGTTTCTTTGAACTCCTAACAGTATATTTGTGTACTGGTGAACAACTAGTATACACTGTCGAGGATATGTTAGGTTTAAGGCGATTAAGGAGCGTCTAAGTATGACGTAGGTTCAAACGCTCGTCACTACCCTTGTGGATTTGTTCATGTTAGGTTCATCCATGGTCCCCTGGCCTGCCTGAACCTAACTCAATGGCGCTTAA